TCCGTATGATCCGCTTGAACACACTGTGTTCAATTCCGAGACAGAATAATGTATATAGGTATTTAGTAAATAAAAAAAAAAAAAAAAATAGGATTTCCTGTAATCACTTTCGCTGTAATATATATATATATATTTTTCTACTGCGCAGTAAAGCTTCATACACCCAAAAGGAAAAAAAAAAGCAAAGAGCCTGTGTAGGTATTTCTTCTTCTCTTTCTCCCCCGTTAAGTTGTCCCCATCTCTAAGGGTGGTGCACATGCACGCGCATAATGCCCGTATCGCGTACACGTACCATTATATAACTGCTGTTGACACATCGGGGACATGCATAATGTAAAACTCGCGAGCACTTCTCCTTCGTTCAAGGGCGCGAGGGTTACAACATCCTATAAACTCCCCTTTTCTTACACGCGCTCTTGCCGCCTGTGCCAGATAAAATTTAGGGTAGAGAGTATATATGTATCATTGACGTCCCTTTCGACCCCCATAATTACATGTAATTTACGCTGCCCAGAGTCAAAGTGATTTAATGGCAAAGAAAGAAACGAGATGAATTGCACGAGCCACGAGCTCGTCATCGTTTAATTATACAAAAAGTGAGATTCATATGAGATAAATCCATGCACCCTTTGATACATAAGTAATGGCTTTTCATTCGCATCAATCCAACCATTGAAACGTACAGGCGCGGTATTGCCTGTGTAGGCTTCAACCCCCTGTACTCCTCCCGTAAAAAGAAGCAAAATTGTCACACCTCCGCTGCACATCTAAAAGGGCGCGCCCAAAATAAAAGCGACACTTGAGTACTCATCTCATTTTCCCTTAGTAACGATTTTCCGACCTCCACTGCACCCGCTCTCTTCGTCACCTTAGCTCCCATTCCCTACATGTCGTGCCTCGCATTTCCCTCGCCAGTGGGGGGGGAAGGGGGAGATCTGTAAATTAAGAAAGAGGAAGTTGAGGAGAAACAGCAAAAAAAAGGGGGGGCCAAGCGACGATGTGGCTCAAGATCTCTCTCCTGGGCAAGCTCCATAAGTGTATACGTATTATATATACGGAAATGACTGG